TATACTTTAAATCTTGAGTCAAACAAGACCTAATCACACCATACCTATCTGATTCATCTTCTTCCAAACATTCTCTTCAATATCATCTGGCTTGCCATCCAATTTTAAAATATCCTCCAAATTTTGCGCGTTCAGCGCATCCAAAACCTCACATCTCCATAATCCAAAATTGTTCGTGTCGTTAAACTTCTTAACATCTATCTTCATAGAGTGGATATTCAAATTTTAAATGGTCTTTACGCCAGAAGTACCACCCTCAACACCCGAAGTACCTTCTTTCCCAGTCATCTTCCTCAACACACCAACAACTAATACGGAACAAACTGAAGAATAGATCTAAAACTGAGAAAAGATAGAATTTTTACCAAAAGACCCCACCTTTAACTTCCAATTGAAACTCTAGATGGACTTTCAAAGCAATCTACTCCGACGAATAGCCTAAGTATAGTCCGAGATCTGATACCAATTGTTGTGCGCGACGGTCAAATTGTTATGCTTCGAGGAACCAAACCAAAACGTCGAGATAGAAGGCTAAACAATCCAAGATAACGACACAAACTCAAACACAAAAGTTTAACGTGGTTCAGCAAATTGCCTACGTTCACGGGGCAAGAAGGGGATGAGTTTTCACTATAGAGAAAGAGAGTATAAAATAGAGATTACAAGATCACTCAACTAACCTCTCAAACAGATCTCAAATCTCACAAACTAAACCCTCAACAAATTGCTTAGAAAAATCTCTTTTCTGTGCTCAAAATCTCCTTCAAGCTACCCCAAAAGTGATCAATATGATCCAATAAACCCTAAGCAAATCGTGTTCCTATTTATATAAACATGAAACCCAAACAGAACAGGAAACCAAGCCCAAGCCCAAAACCGCATCGTGGTCGACCGCCAAGCCAGTCGCGGTCGGTCGTGGTCAACGACAGAGAACAAAAATGCACTACAGGGTATCACGGTCAACCGTGAATCCACTTGCGATTAGCTGTGAAAAGTCCAGAGACTTTTCCAGGCTATGTGCACGTTTGCGGTCGACCGCAGCGCCACTCGCGGTCGCCCGCAGCGCCACTCGCGGTCGACCGTGAAACATCCAAAATGTTTTCTGCTTCAATTTTCCTGAGATTCATCGCCTTCGCCTCCAATTCTACAACATCAAGCCTATATATACAAATAAGACTCCAATCCAAGCACCAAGAATACCTGACTAATTGTGCATGTAGGCCATTCTATAGAGATAGAATGACAGCATATATAGTGTGCAACACATATTTTTCTTTTTTTGTGAATAACTAATAGGGTTATTCTTTTCAAAGCTCACAATGAAGCGCACACGTGGAAGAGTTTTCTGCATGAAAACTATTAAAATTTAAAGTATAAGGTGATAATTCTCAATATTAACTTTATAATAGTTACATAGAGAGTGAAAGTCAATATTCAGAAGGTCATAATCAATCAACGTACCGATAAATGGTTTCAACTAGATTTCAGCAGCTCGTAGAATTTGCGTTTTGATGAATTTCAAGCTGTTGGATTGCTAGCTTGATAATAACTTCGAGCATTTGGAGATGATGTAATCATTAATTGCTAGTTGTCCCCTCAGGGTAGAGTGGAGACGATGAATCAAGTTGTGGTTAAAATTATGAAAATGGCTATAACCAAGAGCTCAGTTAAAATTGAAGCTCTGTGAGATTATAGACAGTCTTGAGGAAACCAGTCAAATAAATTAGGTGACAGTCAAGTTAAATACGTTATTTCAATTGTGGAACCAATGGTTAGAGGCTATACAAAGATGTCATCTTGGATGACATGCTCAGTTCCACTGATACAGAAAATTCTAGAAACAGACATAGCAGAATTATCATGTTTGATGTCTGTCCTAGACAACCTGGCTAAAAAGTTAAGTAGTTCTTTCACTGGGGTCTGTTCGTACAATGAATAAGTGTATAAATAGTTATAATGTGATTAATTAAATATAGCATTAAATATGGAACATCTTTTTCATTTTTATTTAGACCTCCAGAAAATAAGCACATTCTGTCTTAAATTCACATTTATTAAATATTTATCCAAAATATACAAGCAATGTGGAGCAGGAAGCGTATCAAACTAGACACGCATATTGGATTGTTATAGCTCGTTAGTGTATTTAGATGCATGGTAACTTACCTATGAGCTTAAATTAGTTTGTTATATTTGGATGGTACATGTATCAGTTTGTGCCGTTCTGTGATTGTGTAGACAATAGAGATTTTGATGGAGAATTATGTCTTTGCAGTTCAGCGCAAAAAACTTGTCAGCACATAAAAAGTCTGCCTTTGAACTAAGAATTGTACAATATGACTTGAACTTGGCAAGCTTTTAACAAGCATCTTGATCGAAGATGAGTGATTCTAGAGCTGCTCTAGTTTTCTTTATGCTCTATCTTATACTAGATATTGTCACAACTTTGGTAGGATTTGTTAGCGGCTCAAACGACTGGAGAACCATAATGAACAGCTATAGTGGTAGAAGTTATTTGTAGCGTTAGATTTTTTTATTTTGGTGTGTTTTTTCTTTTGGGTGGGTTTTTTTCTTTTTCTTTTCTTGGGTGGGTGGGTGGGTGGGTGGGGGGGCTAATTTGTAGAGGTAGAAGTTAATTATTGTCATTCCAGTTGGTTGATCGAGGATCCTGATGAGGAGAGGACCTGATAGTGAAATCATTGTGATGTATAGCTATATGTGGTGTCATACTAGGGAAACAACTCTGGACTACAAGAACTACTGAAGATGGTTGTTTTCTACAGTTCTATGGTCTCTTTGTGTATTTCTTTCTCTCCCAGACGTTTTCCTTTTGGAAGGGTGCTGCAAGAGTTGCTGGAAAAGGGGAAATATGGTTCTTTAGGTCTCAACCATATAATTTTGAAGTCCTAAGAAGTTGACGACAATTCCTGATTATCTGCCTCTTGCCATACCAGAACTGTGATGTTTGAAAAGTAAAGTTTTTATAGCTAGCAACCCTAACAACTAATGAGAAACCATCTTGACATTTGTATCTTGCAAAATGCACATAAAGAATTATATCCTATGCATGCAAAAGAAATCATAGCCTGTAATAGTATTAACACGGTCTGTGAAGATGCTTACTTGTTCTTCAGTAGGAAGTTAGCATTTGTCATTTGCAGGGTGGGTCATAAGAAATATGGACATCATTTGCTTTGTAGAATTTACACAAATAAGCTGTAGAATTAGTTTCATTATAATAGGAAGTTTAATGTGTGAATGACCACAAGAATTAAGAAAATTTGCAATGCGAGATCATTTGTGGATGTGCTAGAGAAACTTCCAAGAACAATGCTTGTTTAATGTCCAAATTTCTCAAGTAGTCCTAAAAGGAAACAATCATATTTTAGCATTTGCAGATATTCATTTGCCAATTACCTCTCCCTCATTTGTGGCAGATTCATAAACAAGCCCAGACGCGAAGGTCGAACCCCGCGTCAAACAAGCTCAGACGCGAAGGTCGAACCCCGCGTTAGACAATCTTAGACGCGAAGGTCGAGCCTCGCGTCAGAAAAGTTCAGACGCGTGGGTCGACCCTCGCGTCAAAAATCTAATTACCTCTCCCTCATTTGTGGCAGATTCATACAGTATCCATATTCTATTCTTCTGTGAATGACCTTGAATGCTTACTTGTTCTTCAGTAGGAAGTTAGCATTTGTCATTTGTAGGGTGGGTCATAAGAAATATGGACATCATTTGCTTTGTAGAATTTACACAAATAAGCTGTAGAATTAGTTTCATTATAATAGGAAGTTTAATGTGTGAATGACCACAAGAATTAAGAAAGTTTTCAATGCGAGATCATTTGTGGATGTGCTAGAGAAACTGCCAAGAACAATGCTTGTTTAATGTCCAAATTTCTCAAGTAGTCCTAAAAGGATACAATCATATTTTAGCATTTGCAGATATTCATTTGCCAATTACCTCTCCCTCATTTGTGGCAGATTCATACAGTATCCATATTCTATTCTTCTGTGAATGACCTTGAAAGACATTAATGTTAAGTTCTGCAAGTAACTGAGAAACTTTATTTTCCCTAAACTATTACGGTTCTCATAACAGTTATCTTTTAAGCCAAGTACTTGACGCCAACTAGCATAAGCATTTTACAGATGGTTGCCATTTAAAAAATATGTTTAATGTAATGAATACTTCTATCTGGAAATGCTGTATTAGGATTGTTATTTGCGAGTCAGAAAAAGATATCAGATGCTTTCTTCTTGTTTCTGTTTTTTCCCCATGTGTCTTGCTGGTTGCGACCCTGTTCTTTTTTAAGATCACCTCTTGAGCATATCCTTGTCGATGCTTGTAGATTGATCCTCATCCACGCATGAACTTTGATTGAAAACATGCAAGTGAAGCATCATTATGTGAGGATGATAGTTAAGATTTCTGCGTGAAATGCTCCTTCAAACTCTTGTAACTGTCATTACCAGGAACTGTTTGTATCATCTTTAGGTAAACGTTAGGTTGTCTAGTACCACAACCGTCATTACCAGAAACTGTTTGTATCCTAGTGATGAAACATCAACCTCTTCTTGCGTCTTTCAACTAATAGCATGTTTTCAAGTAGTTTGAAGATTTTTTAATTACACTTGTTTCAATAATAATATTGTGAGGGAATCCATGGTTAAAAACATGTTATCCCTAGCTTTTTTTAAATATCTACAATATGGTTGTGGGCTGACTTTGCTACTACAATTGAGAGGTTTAACTTTTTGTTAAGTATGGTTCTTAGTGAATTATATTTAGATAGCAATTCAAAATTCAATTGAAGGATATGGTTTTAAACAACTGAATAGTGAAAAATGGTTCATGTAATTGTAAGGATCGTATACGAATATACTTTATTTGTTTTTTTTCAGTTATGGATATTATTTGACTTCAGACTGTTCGCTTCTCTTCATTATGGTCTGAGTATTATGTTTCTCTAGTTGCACTCAAACCAGTGCTTGTTGCAGAGATGCAGGTAGGGGAGGCCCAGCAAGCTTTTGGTGAATGCGAGCCCGTTCAGCGCTGAGCATCCAGACATTACCATTTATTCTGCTACAATTGTTTTAACTTATATTTTCGTCGGTATCTCTTTTATCTCTGTATTGATGAGTTGCCTTCTCATCTTTGTTAAAATGATTTTATGTGTTGTAGCTCAAGGGATGAAACTTTTATCATATTTATGTAGTCCTTTGTGGTGTTCCCATCAATCATCTTCTTTGAAAATTATATCTGAACCCTCATTCTGTGAAATCTCTTTGACCTGAAGCACCTAATTAGGGACTGTTGCAAGCTTGTTATGGTGCTCTGCTGCTACAATGGTCTACTACTTGGGATGCTTTTAAATTTACTGCAAAGTGAGGGGGTTTTATGCACCCATTCAAGATAAATTACACTTAGCTACTCTATTGTTGCCTGACATTGCACCAAAACACCCCAAGTTTGAAACCCTACACCTAATTATCCTAGGGTTTCTGAAAAAGTTGCACTCTAGGAAGTTCATGGGTATCAGAGTGAAGCTTTTTAGAAACTTTAAGATATTTATTCAAGTGTAGGTTCCAAACTTGGGGTATTTTGGAGCAATATCGAGAAAACAATAGGGTATTTAGGTGTACTTTACCCTTTCAAAAATTATGAAGTTTAAGTTATAAAAGTTTATGCACCCACATTATTTGTTCTGTGGAATACTCTTATACATCTAATTATTTAGGATAACACCGACGACAACACATACATCCAGCTTTTTGGGCTGGCTGCTGATTAATGATTGTAACAGACAGTAAATGTGGTTTATTGGAAGCAACTGATTATAAAATGTAATTATCAAGGCTAGCTAATATGTTTCTTTAGTTGCAAATATGCACTTTTTCCTGAGATGGTGGGAATTCATCATTATTAGTATCATCATAACTACTACTTACTCTTAATATTATTACTACTATTTATTATTTCTATTATTATTATTAGGAAAAAAATGAGTTTGTGAGTTTGAGGTGAGCCACCAAGAGATACACGTGCGATGAAACCCACCTTATTTGTCACATCAAAAGTATGAGACTCACCACTTACTCTCTTAGTAGCTCATTTTGCTGAATGAGCCATCATCTTACAACCATTAAACCTTTATTATTATTATTTAGAAAAAACATATTCCATTAGTAAAGAATTAACGAAACAAGTGAACTAGATAAAAGGAAAACAAACACAATATGGTCCCCGATTGGATGGATAACATAACGTCTGCAATTACTTATGAATATACAAAATGTTTGCAGTTAACCTATCTTCCTTTTTATTTTATTTTTCTTCTTTCAACGAAAATATCTAATAAACTGAAATGTAACAGAGCAGTAACAACAACAAAAAATAAATAAATCAATAGACGGTAATATACTGAACCCAAATCCAAATCACATTAGATCACGTATATTGTTCTAAAATCATGCACATCATTCTAAACATCAGGACAGATAACAGGACGAAAAGAAAGAAGTTTCTTTCTTTTCCTCTCACCATCTTCTTTCAAAATTACTTGCTGTGCAGACAAAACACAAACAGGGGTTCAGTTCCAGTTATAGAGACTGAAAACGTCTTCTATCATAGTTCAATCATGCTCTTATTCATAAAATCAATAACCATTAACATTAGTATCAAGCTTCCAATCTCTTCGCTTGCTCTGGCTTATTACTCCAAAACCTCCAATGAAGACTCCTCTCATCGAGCATCGCTTCAACCTCCTCTATCGGCAGTCCCTTAGTCTCTGGCACACAAACAATCACGAAAAACAATGCAACCAACGAAATCACCCCGAAAATGAGAAATGTCCATGACGTCCCTATCGTTTCTGTTAACGATAAGAATGATTGTGCCACAATGAGATTTGAGACCCAGTTGGCTGTAGCAGCAATGCCTCCACAAACTCCTCTGAACCTTAAGGGATAGATTTCTGAGTTTACGATCCAGGGTACAGTTCCCATCCCGGGAGAGAAGAATATGATGTATAATGCTAAACCGACCAACGCAAGCCAACCAAATCGACTAGGGCATCCTCTAGTGTACCAGAGCCTGCCTTCTCCATGGCAAGTGTCTTTGACTGTAGAGTTTGATATCCAACATGCACCCGGGAAAAGCTGCAATAAAGCATTTTTATTAGAAAAACCAAAATTAAAGTAGAACCCATGTTCAAATCTCACCGGCCACGCATTTAAAGAGGATCTTAAAAAAGATTAATTGCAGATACCCCTGTACTACAGGGAGTTAAACCATTTATTAACCCTATATTTTTGTTTTATTCGCACTTAGATTCTTGGATGTTTTAACAGAGTTATATCATCAATGTGTGTACCCATCAAGTAGGTGTCCGGTTACGGCAATGTCTTTGAGAGAGATCTATTGATATTTCAATGTGTTATGTAAAGACTCCTTGTTTCAGTTAAAAGGTACAAATACAGAGGTAGCTCTATTTAGATCAGCAGCTCTAGGTAATAAGCGGCTAACCTCCATAATATAAGGGGTTGCATAAAATTATATCAAAAATTTATCACTACCTAGAATAGCTTATCAATCCATGAAAAAGGTATTCAAACTGTGTTATTTTCATTACCTTACTGCTACTAGAAGCACAAAATCCGCATTCTGGTGACGAAGCTTTCAAGCAATGCATACAATCCCAATTCGACGATGGCTGAAACGCTGGACAAGTAAAAGAACCAATCTTCGCTGTCTCTGCAGCACTAATTGCTGGTGAATGCGTAGTAGTCTGCTGAAAAACTGCAGTTAAAACTGCAAGAGAAAGAACCACACCGGTCAAACTTATAATCAAAAGCTTCTTCCTCCCAGTTCGATCAATGAAGTAAATACTAACAATTGATCCAATTGCATTTAGCCCAGAAGTGACGAGCGAGAGAGCGAGTGCAGTTTGGTTCGAAGCAAAGCCAGCAAGTTGAACTATAGTAGGGCTATAGTACATTACAGTGTTGATGCCCACAAATTGCTGGAAGATTTGAAGCCCAACTCCTGCCAGTAATCCTCTTCTCACTGTTTTTGTTTTCCAGAGCTTTATGAAGCTGATCTCCTCTGCTGAGCCTTTCTCTTTAATTTCGGAGGCTACCGATTCTTGAAGTGCTTGGATTTCAGTATCTACTTCGTTCGCTGGATAGATTTTTTTCAGAATGGATTTTGCTTCTGCTTCTTTTCCCTGAAGATGAATAAAGAAGGAAAACTATAGTGAGATGTCCGCCGAGTATTTGTATTGAATTTTGGATTATACCTTTCTGTAAAGCCAACGAGGCGATTCTGGCAGAAACATCATGAGGATGAACTGCAAGAGTGCAGGAATTCCAGCGATCCCAAGCATCCACCTCCATGTTCCAGGGGCCTGAGAATGAGGAATTATGAACATAATTACTGAAGACTCCCTCATATATATCCGTAAGATACTACTGGACAAAAAAATTGATATTTGACAACATCATATGTTATTCTAAAACGACAAATGGTTCCATAGTCAACTCATTAGACTGTAAGGTTCTGCCTTAAAACCTGAAGGTAATGGATTCAAGTCTCACAAACAGCCTTTTCACATGCGGGGGTAAGGTTGCGGATGTCTGACCCTCCCCAAACCCACATTGTGGGAGCCTCGTGCACTTTCTTGATAGTAACTTTGATTATAATTATATTTAGTTAGGAGTTGCCCAAAATATTTTTTTCGATTTACCGAATCACACACTATAATATACTCTATGTATAAAAGTTATCTCAAACATTTTACAAAAATTTCTTTATACAATTTAACTATTAATGTTTCACGTTGAGCATTTACAGATATTAACTATATCATGCATACACACATATAAATGTGTCTATGACTGTATCTTGTGTCAATGTCACATACCATATCCGGTTTCTGTGTAATCTAAGATTTTGGCAGTCAACCGGCAACGAATGTAAACACCAACCTTAATTCTGTTATAAATAATTTTACATCAAAAACTCAAATTCAGTTCTTTACCTTAGTGAATGCCAGATTTATAAGGTAAGACAAAAACTGGCCACCAGTGATAAGAAAACCATTAGTACTAACAAGAGCTCCTCTGACTCTGGCAGGAGAAGCCTCTGATATATAGAGAGGAGCAGTCATTGATGCCATACCGACACCAAGGCCAACAAATATACGGCCTATGATGAGAACTGTCGAGAGCCATGATGACAGCTCCAGTAAAGAAGAGGGCGTCAGCGACTAAGATGGATAGTTTTCGTCCGAATCGATCGTTTGCCCATCCTCCGATGGCTGCTCCGATGATTGCACCTGCGACAGCCATGCTCACTATGATCTCCTGTAGAAACCAATAAGATAGAAGTTTGATTTAATCATTTTCTGTATTATGTCGAAAAAGACATGGAAAGCTTTATTTGTTTATTTATCTTTTTTTTGGTCAGCAGTCGTTGATTTTGTAGCAGTCAAAAAGGAAAACATTGGAGATTTCGTTTAAATACACGATTCCGCCATAATTCGAATTTTATGCTGTTTGATATCTGAATGGAGATTTTGTAGTTACAACCAATTTTGTTTATTTCGGTGCAGCAGGGTGCATGTATGCAAAAAACACAGGGAATGTAGAGGGGGGTTTTACCTGCAACCAAGTTTTCCTGTCAACCTCCGAGAAATCATCTCGTATGTAAAGCAATGCTCCAGAAATAACCCCTGAACAAAATGACTTACATTAGACCACTGAAAATGCACCAGGGAAATTTTCAGGTTAATATCTGAGCGGAGTTGTCAGTCCTTCAATGCGTTTAACTAAATTCCATTAGTAAAAGAGATAAGGCTATCAAAAGCTCAAAGTATTTGGGCTTCTTCTCTCTCATGAGAAACTTGATTATCATTATATTATTCTGATCACTCAGAATTTCGATTATAGCGTGCAACTTTACTGAAAAAAGTGTAAAGCTATTTCCACAACCACCAATATGTCAAACTTCAAAAAGACACAGCCAACCATACACCACAAATCTTATCACCAACAATTCCTCCAATTGTTTGATATCCTCTAGCTATCTAAATACAGTCTGCCTAACATAATCGAGATATTGCACTTTTTGCTTCATATAAACTTTTTCAGCCTTCCAGTTCCTTCTTGGGTGCCTTTTTGTGAGCCGAAATCCATTTTAATTAGAATTTCTTGACCTTCAATGATTAAACCTGAATTGCTCCGACGATAGCATGTCCCGCTACAACAGAAACTACAGTGAAGGTTGAGGGTTACAAGTTTACATAGAGGAAATTTTTTATAAGAACAACTAGCTAGGTGGTGTTCAACACTGTTAAGATAAGATATAATGATTGATGTTCTAAACTTTATGTGAGTCCATCCTAATTTCTATGCTATAATCTCTTGTAATATTACCCTAATGCTGAAGTTAAAACTCCTATAAGATCATACATCTCGCTGTAAAAATCTGATAATAAAGCACAAAAGAGGATAGACAATGAATTGTTAGCTATCTGGATAACGCAAACTTATAAGATCATGAAGCAAAACTAACCCACGTCATCCTTTCGATATAAGGATCATCTAAGTTCTAGTATTTGAAGCGCAGAGAAAGAGAGAGGAACAAAAGCTAATCAAAACTCTCTAGGACATGAGAAAAGGTAACAATGACTTAAAACTAAAAACCCGCAAGAAAACAAATCAGATAAAATCCTGAAAATTGTATAAAATCCTCAACCTGTATCATAACCAAAGAGCATTCCACCAATTCCAGCAGTGAAAGCGAGTCTCAAAACATATGGATTCCTCCATGAAAGAGAGAAGCACTCCTTGAAAGCAGAAGCATCTGCTTCAATTAGTCCCCCCTCCATTTTCTAAGCTTATACAAAACTCACCGCAGAATGCAGAGGCAATTATAAAGAGAGCTTATCAATAGAAGGACAAGGAATCGCTTAGGATTTGAGGAATCTGAAACAGGGGAGTCAAGTTTCCTAAAACAGAGGAGAAATACAAATGGGAAATTATAAGATAAAGTGTCGTAATTAAAGAGGGAAATGAGGAGATTGATTCTTAGGGTGGCTTTGTCTACTTCTCCTTTGACTATGATTTATTCTGATGAGGTTTTTTCCACTTCCCATTTGACTGTTGTTTTGTTATTTATATACTCTAAATACAATTGTTAAGCATTTTTGTTGAAAAATTATCTATTAGTGAACAGAGTAAATATTATACTATGAAGAAAACAAGTACTAACAAACACCCATAGAGAGAATCTTTTGTAACTAGGGAATTGTTGTAGATAAAATTATTTTTAGTGCATGTTTGCCTAGAAAAGATTTATTTTTTGTGCAAATTATATAGTGCATGAATTTGGTGCATCCCCATGAATCCATGTTTTGGGCTGGAGAAGCTAAGGTGCAAAGAGTACGAAATTAAACATTTTACTATTTTTACATGAAATTATCAAGGAATTACGTCTGATTCAATAAAAAGGATTGAATCGGGTTATGAAATGAACAAATTGAACATAACCTTCGGGGGGGAAATTATTATTTGCTATCCCATAAGGGCTTACAATAAATATAAATAAAAGAAGAAACAATTCACATGGCAAACTTCATTAAAAACTTTGATACTTGGAAGGATGTAGCCTCTGCACATGGATGAAGAATAATCCAAATAAGCTATTTTTGCCTGCGTTGGTTTGCGCAAATTATTGTTTTCAAGTTGGAAGTAAACCTACGAAGGGCCAAAATCTTGTTCATTTATTGGATTGATAGTGATAAATAATAGTTAGCTATTAAATTGCACATGTTGTTAGTTTCTTTGTAGGTTAAGAGGATGTTTGATTTACTACGGTGTCAATTACATTCAATATTTGAGACCATTTAGACCAGTTGTGGTTATTTATTTCACAGGGACTAATAAATTTAATTGCAATTGCAATTTAAAAGACCATTAAATTACAACCAATATTTGCGCAGTCTACACGCAAGTCAGAGTTGCAATCTTCTGAGGTGGCAAAAGAAACTTAAATTCAAAATTTTACAATCAATCCCAACAAAAAGTCCAAAATATTTTTATGTCACCAAAAAAACGACTGTAATTACAAACCGTAAAATTTTAAAATTGAAGAAAACAACTGCTTATGACAACAATTACGACAACTCTGCTTGCATCATTCCATGCAACTAGCACTTTGATTATACTAGAGTTGCAACCAAACAAAAAGCCCTTAAAAATGTAACCTAGAAGCAATGTTACAATAGGAGTATGCCAATATTAGAAGCATATGATTTTATCAAATTTCGTCATTTTCATTGAATAGGAGTATGCCAATATATTAGAATCATTTGAGGTTACTAGGTTGGCTCCTTTTTTTTTCTTTTTTTCTTTTTTTGGAGTTGATAATGTTTGGCTATTTATTATTGCTCATTAAATCTCATTATGTTTTGGGTCATTTTCCTTGTAACCGTCAAGTTAGTGCATTGGTAGGTGTGAGTGCTTTGGGATAAGGATATTATTGACTTATATTTGGAGTTGTAGGAAGAGTCAATAATTCTGTTTGGTTGGTGAATTTCTAATTCCTAGTCCTATATATATCCACTCCCTTGAGCACCCTGGTCCGGTGCCCCCCCCCCCCCCGGGGGGCATTGGCTGTGTGGATATTATTCACCAGTGTCTACATTTTCCAATTTAAATCATTAAACAACAACTTGTGTTGATCAGAGGAGATAAGTAACACAAATTTTTAAGAGAGCTTGCGGTTGAGAGGTTTAAGAGGGTCTGAGGGAGGCGAGGTTAGTGGTTTCCCCATTTGATAAATTATAGGGTTAATTGCGGATAGACCTCCTATAGTTCTATTGTTACATATGAACTCACAGAGTGAAATGTTTTGGACTCTTTTGTTCTTAGGTGGTCTATCAATCTGTTAAGAAAAACAATTTTTTACCTTTCTCGGAGGGTAAAGAGTCAAAATAATTTCACTCAAATCAACTCTTAAACTATATGATGGGTCGGCTCCATCTAATATGTTGTTGTGCTAGAGAGAGAACATATCTCTCGTTGCAATTATCTCTGCTGTCCGATTGCATCGTATCATATATACGCGATCCATGAATATTTGTATTCACCTTTACTCCAATTTTCTTGTAAAATAAATAGTGAGATTTTATAGGATCTCATTGAATTTGGATTCCTACAACTATCTACTTCAAGGAAGATAAATAAGGAATTATCTCAGAATCTTATCTCTATGGAACAAAAAATATATATATAAAAAAAAGGAGGTACTAAGGATCGGATCGAACTAGACGACACCAAGTACCAAAAGATCTATACTCAGTTTTTTTAGCAGAAGCGATTGAATATAAAAACTGACCAAAAGTGAATATAGTGATTCCTATCAGATAACTTAAAGTATTAAAGAACTTCTTTACAAAAAAAAGTACTGAGGTCATAAGCACAGTAGAATATACAATCATGCCTTTTTTAAAAATGTCAAAATTTTAAAAGGGGTCTTCTTGTGGCACTAATTTGAGAAACATATTTTGGGTCAATAACAAATCTTAATGAAAAGTGAGAAACAGAAAAATAATAGTAATAAAATCACCCCAAAATGCCATTTAAAGCTACAATTTTTAAAGGCAACAAATTAAAAGTAGAAGCTAAACCTGTGTCATAACCAAAGAGCAAGCCCCCAATTCCAGCAGAGAAAGCAAGTCTCCAAACAAAAGGGTTCTTCCAAGCTAAAGAGAAGCACTCTCTGAAAGCAGAAGCATCTGCTTCAATCACTCCTCCCTCCATTTTTTTTTTTTTTTTTTGAAAAAGGTTAACTAAAATGAGAAGTTTACTACAAGAGCTATAAAATCTCAGGGCCTTATATAATGATATATACAATGTGACAGAAAGGCAAGAAGAGTTCAATAGGGAATTTAGCTCTCTGCTCTCTGTGCATTTTGTGTTTTTATTTTTGAGAGAGAGAGAGATAAAGTGAGAAAGGGAGGAGGCCAAGTGTCATGGAGTGAGCAAGAAAGAAAGATACCAAAATGACTTTTTTGTCCACTTTTTATTGACTCCAAATTTGTTGGCCTTATGCATAACGGAATATATAATGAATGAACATGAAAATGAGGTCAAAACAACTAGTTACTTTTTTGTTCCATAGAGATAAGATTCTGAGATAATTCCTTATTTATCTTCCTTGAAGTAGATAGTTGTAGGAATCCAAATTCAATGAGATCCTATAAAATCTCATTATTTATTTTAAAAGAAAATTGGAGAAAGGTGAATACAAATATTCATGGATGGCATATATATGATACGATGCAATCGGACAGCAGAGATGAATGCAACGAGAGATATGTTCTCTCTCTAGCACAACAGCATATTAGATGGAGCCGACCCATCATATAGTTTTAGAGTTGATTTGAGTGAAATTATTTTGACTCTTTACGCTCGGAGTGAAATTATTTTGACTCTTTACACTCCGAGAAAGGTAAAAAATTGTTTTTCTATCTTTATTATATTAGTTTTTTATTACCGATAAAATAAAGCTAAGGTCTTTCCTAGAAGAATGACTTAGCATGTAAATGTATTGAGTTCTTACTGCAAACAGTAATACTGTTGTAGGTGTTTAGTTAATTCAAGTCTTTTGAATGGAATGCATGGACTTACTTCTCATAATGTCTCTACCGAAAATAATTGAAATTTAGTGAAAAAGGAATAAGAGGCTAATTTCTTAAGAGTTCCACTAAGTTTCATGTGCACATGTAGTGTCTAAAGTATCTACGGCAACCACATAGTATGAAATGGACTTGAGAGAAGCATTTTCTAGGTGAAAGCTGATCATATTCAGCTTTATTTATTTTATTGAAATATGAGATATCTAACTGGCTTTGGGCACATTGTGCTCTTTGGTCTACGTTGCATTCATTCATGTAATGAATAAGTAATGTGTTGCTCTATTTGTTGGTGTTGGAGATCAACGACGACGAGAGGTTCGTCCAATTTTTTGGATTAGCTACGTGAATTTTATTATATTCATATCTATTTGAAATTGCATGCACGAATCTTACTTTTCCATTTAATTATGTTTTTAACCAAGAAAAGATATCCATATATTGCTATATTTTGCTTATAATACAATCTCCTATTGTACAAAACAAGTCTATCAGAATGCAACATTTTAAATACTAGTACTTTTGCGATTGTATATAGGATCTCTTCCCCAAAAGTAAGACTTAATTAGCTGCTGCTGTTGTTTTTTTTAAATCAAATACATTGTTTGTTTTTATTTTTCTTGTAATGAATTTGGGATTGTTATATAGTAAAGATGAGCCGAATGTGATTCACAAACTTATGTTGATTCGCCTGCATTTGTGACTTTTAGTCACATATTCTCAATGAAATACATGTGCAACCAAACAAAATTTTGTTGAAATATTTTATCTCTCATGCAGATACACTTTGGGGCTGTTAGGTTTGTTGATTAATCTTGATGCATGTCATGGATTTTGAAAACTCCATAACTAAAATCATGTTTTTTTTGTGATGTATATTAAAGAATGTTTATATGAGAGATAAAAGGCAATCAAATTTTGTTTGGTTGTACATAAATTTTATTGAGGATAAATAATTATATTCATAATCCGGTTAAAATCAACATAATTTTAGGGAATTATATTTGATGCGTTTATAACCTATGTGACAACCCCATATCCGTGTATTAAATAAAAATAACAAAATAACAATATATTTGCTTAAAATCAATAGTTTTTAATTTGCAGGTTCCTTCTTTTTAAACGCAAGAATGTAAATGCATGAAAACAAACATCCTCTTTAATATCTAGTATAGAGGACGAACAGCATTTTGGGTAAGGATTTTTCTAGATCCATAGCATTGCATCAAAATGCAATCTTAAAAACAAAACAATCCCACCAAACAATCCCCTTATTGA